TACAGACATGTTCTAAGGACATGGCCGAACCGTTTTATGCCAGTGCGCTCCCATGCAGAGTTCCACTTGGTTGTATCACATGTGAGCATGTTAGACTGTGGGGACACAGACAAGTGCTCCAGAAGTGAGAATGTTGAGCCTCTGGTGTATGTACAGAATCTCTGGGTTCTAGTTTATACTCCTCTCTTCTGGAAAAATTATTTAAACAAAGGGACTTGAGATGATGATTTCTTATGGTGTTCATATAATAACTTTTAAAGTTTCTGAACTCAGTTTATACATAACAAATGAACGATGGGGCTATTCTTCCTAGTGAGTAAAACATGTGCCCTGGAGTCAGCAAAGCCAGGTGCCAGCCCAGCTCTGCCTCTCAGAGCCACGTGAGCTCAGGAGGTGACCCACTAGGGTCTGTTCCCTCAGCTGCAGTGCCACCTCACAGGAGCATTCAGAGAATTCCAAGAAAATCCACATAAAACTCTGAGAGGGGTGCCTGGCACAGAGTGATGCTTAATAAAGATTAGTTCCTGCAAACATAGGGCTGGGAGCAAACTGGGAAAGCACAAGTGAAGGGAGATCTAAGTTCACATGTTTAGACAGGGGTGGAGCTGGTAAGGCCCCTTTATTAGACCCAGGCAAGACTCGCTTCAGGAATCTCCCATAGAAAGAATGTTCCAGGCACCATTTTCAGCCTGGCACAAGCAAGCATTAGAAACAGAAATGGAATGATTCGGAAGATCAGGCACCGAGCAGGTTTTCTGAAGAGAAGATGAGCAGAAGCTATGGGGACTGTGGTTGGGTGTCAGTTTTCAAATACAAGATAAAGAATCAGAACTAACATGTCATTAAGTGAATAGCCACCGTGCAAACCCAGCAAAAGAGGGGCCTTATGCACTAGGTCTTGGCTAGTGGCATTAGTACTCAGCTAAGTAGCAAAGAAAAATAGAAGCAACTTCAGGGCACTGATAAAGCCATAATTTAAGTATTCAAACTTTGGTTCCAGTGATGTCGTACGACTCGAAAAACCTGAGTTGGAAGAACAAAGAATCAAGCTCATTGTGAGGATCAACGCTGACAAAAACCAGCTGAAAGCTATTGAGGAGAAAATTCTGAGAATGCTCTTTACATCTGAAGGAAATATTCTGGACAATGAAGAACTTATTGACACACTCCAGGATTCAAAGGCAAGTAAAATATTTTTAGTATTTATAGAAAGTGTGTTGCTTCAGAAGTTACAAATGTCTCTTTTGAGGGTCCTACAAAGTCTTTTACAGCAAGAATGGCAGCCGCACCTGGGCTGCCTGGGTGGCTCAAGAGTGAGCCCAGCTGGCAGAGCCCTTCACCCCACAGCGGAAGAGGAGGTAAATTGTAGACAACTGTTTCTCTTGTCTGCATTTCTGCATTTTTTAAATTTATTTATTTGTCAGAGAGAGAGAGTGCGCGCACACAAGCAGGCAGAGTGGCAGGCAAGGTGGAGAGAAGCAGGCTCCCTATTGAGGAAGGAGCCCGATGTGGGACTTGATCCCAGGACTCTGGGATCATGACCTGAGCTGAAGGCAGTGGCTTAACTGACTGAGTCACCCAGGCATCCCTCGTCTGCATTTTTTAAATCAAGCATGTAATGTAAAGAACTGGGACAGGATACAAGTTGAAAGGAAAAGCAGTTATAGTCACATTAATATCACCTCCTTCAGGAAGCCTCCCTGGTATGCCCAGCTGGAATTAATCTCCTCCTTGGAATGCCTGTAGCAACTTACCTGACCCCTCTCACAACCCTTGACATTGTTTACCTTATGTCACCATTATCCAATCCCATGTCTTAAATCTCATGTTAGCCTGTTCAGTTTGGTGTTGAGTCTGTGACTAGCTCAGCTTGAGATACCTTCTCCAAGGGCTATCCATGGTGCCCTGTACGTAACTGGTGCTCAGTAAAGATGTCATGATAGTACAATAAAGTTAAACACATAATCTTGTACTAAATTGTTTCTCATTCAAACCATAATTTTAAAAGTATACTGGGAATACAGCCTAGAAAATGATTTTCACCCATTCATGAGAAACAGAAAGTCTCTTTGACATGGAGTACAGAAGGTTATGTTCTTTATCTTTCATTGACATCGAAAATGATACTTCCTTATAGCCTACAATTCTTGAGATCTCAATGTTTAGACAATAATAAGTAATTCTGGATCTCCCATTTCTTTTCTCTCTCCGCTTGTTTGTCAGTCTCTTTATCCTCTTTCCATTCATTCTTCCTTGGTTTTTAGCTTCTGGAAGTCATTGGTTAACCCATTTATTATTTTTTTTTTATCAAAACTTTACATATGGGGCACCTGGGTGGCACAGTTGGTTAAGCGTCTGACTCTTGGTTTCATCTCAGGTCATGATCTCAGGGTCGTGAGATTGAGCCCCACACTGGGCTCCACACTTAGTGCTGAGTCTGCTTCAGATTCTCTCTCTCTCTCCTTCTGCTCCTCCTGCCCATGCTCTCTAAATAAACAAACAAAGCTTTACATGCAGATTGCTTAAGGAATGAAATATTTGGGGCACCTGGGTGGCTCAGTGGGTTAAAACCTCTGCCTTCAGCTCAGGTCATGATCCCAGAGTCTTGGGATCAAGCCTCACATCAGGCTCTCTGCTCAGCAGGGAGCTTGCTTCCCTTCCTCTCTCTCTGCCTGCCTCTCTGCCTACTTGTCAAATAAATAAATAAAATCTTAAAAAAAAAAAAGGAATGAAATATTTGTACAAGGTTTGCGATAGCGTTCCCTGCCTTCTCTCTGCCCACCACCACCACCACCACCACTAATGACTTCCTCCATAAAAACAGCTATGTTGGGCGCCTGGGTGGCTCAGTGGGTTAAGCCGCTGCCTTCGGCTCAGGTCATGATCCCAGGTCCTGGGTTCGAGCCCCGCATCGGGCTTTCTGCTCAGCAGGGAGCCTGCTTCCTCCTCTCTCTCTGCCTGCCTCTCTGCTTACTTGTGATTTCTCTCTGTCAAATAAATAAATAAAATCTTTAAAAAAAAAAAAAAAAACTATGTTCATCTTTTTTTGTTTTGATTATTTGGGGTTTGACATCTTTTCTCTAAATCAGAGACTCATATTTCTACTTTCTGAGTTTTTCTTTTATACATTCACTGTTGTCTATACTTTTACCACTCACATACATACATACACACACACACACACCCTCTTTCCATCCCCTAGCCTGCCACTGTACTCATACCCTGATTACAGTTAAACATCCAGTGTTTACATTGTCTGGAAGTATGAAGGTCTGGGTGCAAGTATTTTAGGGGGCTGAGGACAGGAGAAGAGCTAGGGTGTCTGCAGCCATTGTGTATACATTTACCTAATCTCTTTGTTTTCATTATGGTACCTGGTCCTCAACTGTCCCTGTCTTCCTTCCATCAAAAAATCCTCTCTTTTAATTTCCCCAGGGATGAAACTTAAATTTTTCAGTCAGGGTGGGGAAAGGACATCCCCTGACTGATAGACTTGGGAGTCTATCAACCAATTCTTATTTTAGGCCCTTCCCACTTCTGGTGGGATGCCACTAATTCTTAAGCCTTTGAAGGGGATTCTACTTTACACATTGGGTCACTTTTGGCTTTCTCCTTTGTCAGCTTTGGAATCTATTTTCCTGGATCTGCTAAATCATTACCACTCTACTCTCTGCTTTCCAGTTCTCAAAATTTTATTGATATTTCCTCTTCCATTCTTCCTATCTTTGTGGGTTTGCACTGTTTTTAAAAATCCCTTTACTGGGGCGCCTGGGTGGCTCAGTGGGTTAAGCCGCTGCCTTCGGCTCAGGTCATGATCTCAGGGTCCTGGGATCGAGTCCCGCATCGGGCTCTCTGCTCAGCAAGGAGCCTGCTTCCCTCTCTCTCTCTGCCTGCCTCTCTGTCTACTTGTGATCTCTCTCTGTCAAATAAATAAATAAAATCTTTAAAAAAAAATCCCTTTACTATAATTGTATCATGATGTCAGTAGGGCATAAGATAGATACATGTGTTCTGACTGCCTTCTTTCTCTGTAAGCGGGTTTCGGTGTCTGCAGGTAGTTGCCTTAAAGATATCCTTTCTATCACGTGGAGATAGGACTGATTATTCCTGGCCTGTATTTCCTGCCACTTCCTGCCTATACTTTGTACTCCCTTAAACTCCCAGAACCCTCATTTTATTTTATTTTTTTAAAATTATCTCTACCCCTAACATGGGGCTTGAACCCACAACCCTGAAATCAAGAGCCACATGCTCCCCTGACTAAGCCTGACAGGTGCCCTCATTTTAAAATATGTCATATTCCCTAATCATTGCTGAGGTCTCAAGTCTCTTGGGCATAATATCTGTAAGTAGTTACTAAGCTCAACTGAGATATATAGTATAGTGTTCTCTGGCAAAAAGAAGAAAGTAGTCCACTTTGTTTTCTCTTTAGCCCTGGATTCTTCATTATCAGGGACTTGGGGTCCTCCAAAGAATAAAGAATTGTTTGCAGGTGGGTCTCTTTGGTCCAACTACTCCCATATCAACTTCCTTTTTCCTACTCATATGTAAATGCTTTAGTTGAGTCCAGTATTGAGACTGAGGTCTTCCACTCAACTCTACCCTCTTTTGTCCCCTTAGGCTTCTACGTGGTCAATATAGAGAGTTTGAGCCTTTGATTTCCTGGAAAAATCTCTGAGTCCCCCTCTTCACTCTCTTGGAGGACAGGGGTTGACAGTCTAGAACTTAGCCACTAGCCACATGGGGCTATTGAGCACCTGAAATGTGGCCAGCCTGAATTAAGATGTGTTGTTAGTGTAAAATACACACCAGATTTCAAAGACTTAATAAAAAAAAAAAAAAGTTAAAAATCTCAGTAATTTTTAAATGGATTATATGCTAATATAAAAAACATATATTGGATTCTATTGGGCTGAATAAAATTATTGTTAAAATTAATTTCACTTGTTTCCTTTACTTTCAATAAACTTAGAAAAGATAGAATTATATATGTGGCTCACATTACGTTTCTTTTGGGCAGTCGGGTCTAGACAGAAAGCTTGTGCAGACCCCCTTTGAGCTCTCCTTTCAATACCGAACCAATACCGAACAGCAGTTCCCACAGTGATTTTTCATGGCCCCTGCCCTAGACCCTTTGACTTTCTAGAAACAAACTCCCAACCCAGGAATATCCAGCTGAAAGAAATGGGCATTGGGAGAAGAGGACAGACAGGCAGCAATATAGAGGGACAAGGGAGCCAGAGAAGGGAACCTTAGAAAGCCCATTGGCCAAAAGGCTCCCCAGAACCACTAACTGAAAACAGAAAACCAAAAGAACAGCAAAGACCTTGCAACTATCTCCAACAACTTAGTTTTATAACCCTTCACAACAACCCTTCACAAACAAACCCTATCCCCAGGTTGCCCTTTGTCTACACCTGGGAACACTAGGGAAAGAAAGAGAATCTTAGTCTTCCTTGTTGTTCCAGAGTAGAATGTGATAGCACTTCCTTGCACTCTCTCTCCACCCTCCTCTTTGGGGCAGTTTTGAAGATGCCCCTTCTCGCTTCATACCTTCTTCCGTTATGCAAACCCTATATCATGTGAGCACTGCTCATGGGGACGTCAGGGAGTAACTGGGAGTGCTGTGTTAGTGCTTCCCTTCCAGAAGTCACTCAGAGTCAAGTCTCACGGAAGTGCTGCTCCTGCTTGTCAGGGCTTCTTGTGTCACCTGTTCCTGTCTGCCTGTTCCACATTCTGGAAGGAAAGAGGTATAACTCAGACAGAAGGTTATGGAGTCCTGAGATTCAGTCGTTCTATCTGGGGACCTCCTCACTATGATAATCGTTAATTCACTGTATCCTGATTTCTTTCCTAGACCTAACTGGATATACTCCAAAACTCCTACCATTTTTCTTCTTTCTAAAGGGATCCTTAAGAACTTGTTTTCATATCTTTATTCAGATCACTTCTGGTGCCATTAAAGTCAGACTAAAGGAAGCCGAGTCCACTGAGATGATGATCAATGTCGCTCGTGAGAAGTACCGCCCAGTAGCCACTCAAGGCTCCGTCATGTACTTTGTTATTGCGAGCCTCTCAGAAATAGATCCTATGTACCAGTATTCGTTAAAATACTTTAAACAGGTAAGTGTGTTGTTTTGTCAGTGAACTTTATTTCTTTGGCTTCCCTTTAAACCTCATTGAGTTACTTTTGCCTCAGACAGTTTGTGAGTCTAGTTATCAAGTAAGACCCCCTAGGAGTTCGGAATTACCTGTTCAAGAGCGCCTCCATCTGCCATGTGTTCTCAACACTCAGGTGTCCAGTATGCACAGAAAACTGCCGAGGAAGCCAAAAGAAAGATTTTCTTTTGGCTTCCTCGGCTAACTAGCTTGTTTTCCTTCTTGCCTGCCTTTCTTTTTTCCTTTTAAGAGTCACAGTTCCATGCTGTTTGTTTATACCATCTCTACCATAACCCAACTTCCTTTCCACTGTTAGATTTTTCTGTGCTGTATCTCAAGTCTCTGACAGCATTGACCTTAAGCAAATTGGTTTCTGTATCTTTTATCCCCCAGAACTTTCTATACAATAGGCTATCCCAACCCCTCACCACACCTTCCCAACCTTTTTTAGACAAATTGTACATGCCCTGCTCTCCTGTCCTTGGTTCCTTCCCACTCCCCCCATATTACAATGAGACTTGTTTTTTGCACAGTCTCTCTTCTTCATCTCATATCCACTGTTGAATCTCATCAGATTTCTCGTGAGTAGGATATTTTTACCTCCCCTTTGTGGCAGCTGTCCATCTCTCCCAAGAGCAAATGCAGTGTCACAAAGCTTCAGCAAGCAGTGTCAATTTACCTGAAGATTTCCAGGGGAGACAGCAAGTTTGCATCACCCCTTATACAGCAGAACTTACCAAGCATCCCCAGTAGTGCGCTCTGTTCACCACAAGGTTTCTCTCAGCTACCAGTGGTGTCAAGGTTCGCCATGTTTTATTTTGGCACTAAGCATCACATCTTCACGGGATTTTGAACTTCTCTTCTTCTTGTCAGGTTGTTAAAGAAAGCTCAATCCTCTTTTCTTCTAAGTGTGTTAAAAAACACCTCCATTTCCCTTTGTCAACCCAACTTTGGAGAGAATTAACAAGGGCTTTCCCTTAAATTGTGGAGAAAATTCTAACACATTGGTCCCACAACCTAACGATGATCTTGGGGGAGAGCCAAGAAAAGCATATGACCTTACCTTGCCCTTATGTCTCTTACCCCAAAATGATTATCAAATCCAAGTTAAGGATATGAAAAAACCGGTGGTGCCACCTCACCTCTATTTTCCTGTGTTCCGCCTCACATCAAGATGATACTTTCTGAATACTATCAAGAGTTCTGCAGTGGTTCATTTCTGAAAAATGGGGAGAGGAAAGGGAATGCAGAAAATAAATATCACTTATCAATCTAGGGATGAATTCTGGACATTTCATAGTACAGTAGTCCTCTCCTGTGCTGCTATTTACCCACTGACTACAGGGCCCAGAAGCGAAGGAGTGAGGAGCAGGGATTTTTTTTTTTCCTCCACAGAAACTGAATTAAGTCAGAGACATTAATAGTACTCTCTTTCCCACAGTTGTTCAATACAACAATTGAAACTTCTCTAAAGACAGATGATCTGCAGCAGCGCTTGGAAATACTGCTGGAACAAACTCTTCTAACCGCTTATGTCAATGTTTCAAGAGGACTTTTTGAACAACATAAGCTCATCTATAGCTTTATGCTCTGTGTTGAGATCATGCGTCAGCAAGAAAACTTAACTGATGCTGAATGGAATTTCTTTCTCCGGGGTTCTGCAGGATTAGAAAAGGTACCTATCTCATGTTTGGATTGTAAATGTTATTCTAGATAGGGCCCACAAGCACCTACCAGTGGTCTGCAGTGGCTGAAGGTGATACGTCTGGCCGTGTGACCCGGCAGGGCAGGCTCTGGGGGCCTAGGGGCCAGGCTCCATCTCCAGTAGCTGGGCAAGGTTGGTAAATGTAGCCTCTTTAGGCAGCGCTGTCCTCATCTATACAAAAGTGATGTCGGGAGTAACCAATGGGCTAGTAGATGTGAGCATGTTTTGAAAAGTTGACCATCTTACAAATATGAAGAGTTAAAATTCAATCAATGTTGTAATTCACAGACTTGGCAATACTGTTTGGGAGATCATGACTCCCTCTTGCCTGGACACATCTTTCATTATAAAGCACAGGAACTAATATAACTGAACTGCCGCCTTCCCGAATACTGTAATACAAGCTCTCCTGCAGTTTCCTTCTCTGTGTTCATCCTTTTGTCGAACTTGCCCCAGCCGCTTAAACTAGTCTGCCTCACCCACACACCACAAATTGGGTAGCCCACAGTAGTGAGCAACAGCTCCCCCCACTCTTACCTACAGTTCCAGCTTACCCCACTCTAGATGCCCATCTTGAGCCCCGTCTTCGGTCTTTGCAGACGCCACTATTTGAGCCTCTGCGTATCACTGAGAGGTTGGACTTCATGCCTTTTTTATTTGACTCTCAGTGCCCTATGTTCCCAGGACAAGCCCAGACAGGACCTCTCCACCAGACATCCTTCCTTCCCAATCCCCACCCATCTTGCACACGAGCATATTCTATTAATCCTTGCTTAAAGCAATCTTAACTTCATAATCACAATTCACACTTCAAAGAGCTTGCTATGTTTTTTAATTTTTTTAAAAATTTTTATTTATTTATTTGATGGACAGATCACAAGTAGGCAGAAAGAGAGAGAAAGAGAGGAGGAAGCAGGCTCCCCGCTGAGTAGAGAGCGCTATGGGGGGGTTGATCCCAGGACCCTGGGATCATGACCTGAGTAGAAGACTGAGGTTTTAACCCACTGAGCCACCCAGGTGCCCCTTGCTATGTGTTTAGAGTTTAACAGCTCATTTATCTCTCTCAGTATTCTTCTTATGTGAGTTCCTAATTTTATCTCTAGCCTGCAGATAGACAATTAGGCACAGAGATTAAATAACTTTTCATGTTCACATACTTAATAGGGTTTGGAGCCAGTGCTGGAACCCTCAAGTCAGTCTGTAGAGCCTGCCTCCTACCCGCTTCACTCTGTTGCTGACTATTAGTGGGTCACTCAGCCAGGCTCTTTGCTTTATCATCCTTCTCACAGCATTCTTTAATAGCCTTATTTACAGTTTTCTCAAGCAGATGCTTGAAGATGTTAAAGAACTTTCCAGAATCAGATAACTAACGCATGACAGAAACTGATTCAAACCTGAGCTTCCAAAGCCCATGTCCATTCCAGTACTACCTGCTACTTCTCATGAGCCACATATTTTGAAAAGAAATGTAAAAAACATTTTAAATACCATCAAACAAAAAACTTAGAAATCATCTTAAGATACTTCTCAAATTTTTTATTAAAGCTTCTTTTCTTCTATCACAAGGAAATTGGAATGATTCTTGGCTAATTTTTTTTATAAATATGTTTGGAAGGTATCTTTTATCTAGTTACTTTATTTAGTTACTAATATCTTAATACTGGTATTTTCCATTTTAATCCTAATGCTACATAGCAACAGAATCAACAGAATAGAAAAGCAAACTGCATGATCATCATAGTAGACACAGAAAAAACATTTGACAAAACCCGACACCTTTTCATCATAAAAACACTCAACAAACTATAAATAGAAGAGAACTTCCTCACCTAGATAAAGGGCACGGACACAAATCTACAGTAACAACATACTTAGTGGTGAAAGCCTGGGTGCATTCTCTGTAGGATCAGAAACAAGACTAGCATGTCTGTTCTAACAATTTCTTTTCAGCATTGCACTGGAGATCCTTGCTAGCTCAATTAGGCAAGAAAATGAAATAAAAGACATCCAGATGAGACAAGAATAAGTATCTCTATTTGCAGAGGACAAGATTTTGTATATAGAAAATACTAAGGGACCTACTAAAAAATAATTGAAGTATTAGAACTAGTAAATGAGTTCAGCAAGTTTGCAGTATACAAGATCATTATACAAAATTAATTTGTATTTCTCACAGATGCTTGCAAGGGACAATATGAAAATGCAATTAAGAAAAAATCCATTTACAATGGCAGTAGAAAGAATGAAACACATAGAAAGAAATTTAACAAAAGATGCTCAAACTTATACTCTGAAAACTACAAAACATGTTGAAAGATATTTGAGGACCTAAATAAGTGGGGGAAAAAAATCCCACAAACATGGATTAGAGGCTTAGTACTGTTAGGATGGCAATACTACCCAAAGTGATCTACAGACTCAGTGAAATCCCCATCAGAATCCCAGCTGACTTCTTTGTAGAAATCAGCGAGTTTAAAGTTCATATGGAATAGCAAAGGATCCAGATCCCAAAGCTCACTATAAAGCAGCAATAATCAAGACCGTATGATACTAGCACAAAGACAAATGGATAAATGAAATCAAATATGAAAGTCTAGAAATAAAAGCATGTGTCTATAGTCAACCAATTTTTGATAAGATTGCCAAGATAATTCATTGGGAAAAGTAGTCTTTTTAACAAATGGTGTGGGCCAGCTGGGCCACATGCAAAACAGTAAAACTAGATCCTTATATCACACCATATATAACCTAAAATGTATCAAAAGCCTAAATATAAGAGCTAAAGCTCTTGTTAGAGCACATGGGAAGAAGTGTTCATGACTGCATGTTTCACGATGGATCCCTAGATATGATACCAAAAGCATGAGCAACAAAAGAAAAAAATAGATAAATTGGACTTTATAAAAAATAAGCATGCTTTTGTTTTAAAGAAAACTTAAGAAAATGAAAAGACAATGCACAGAATGGGAGAAAATATTTGCAAATCATATCTGAGAAAGGATTTGTATCAGGAATATATAAAGAACCCTTACAACTCCACAATAAAATGACAAATGACCCAATTTAAAAATAAACAAAGCTCCTGTATAAATATTTCTCCAAAAAAGATATACATAAGCACATGAAAAGATGTTCAAGATCATTATTCATCAGGTAAATGCAAATCAAACCTTAAGGAGATAGCATTCATCCCTACTAGAATGGCTAGAATCAAAAAGATAATAACCAGTGTCAGTGAGGATGTGGAGAAATCAGTCCCGTCATAAACTGCTGACTAGAGCAAACAATGCTGCAGCTACTTTGGGAAATGGTCTGGCAGCTCCTCAAGCAAAATATAGAATTTCTATATCACCCAGCAATTCAACTCCTGGGTGTGTATCAGAGAGAAATGAAAATATGTCCACACAAAAAATTTGGACATTAATATCCTAGCAGCATTATTCATAGTCACCAACAAGGTGGAAACAACCCCAATGTCCATCAACTGATGCGTGAATAAACAATATGTTGTCTACTCATCACAACAGAATATTATTCAACCATAAAGAGGAATGAAGTACTGATGCGTATCACAACATGAGTAAACCTTCAAAACATTAAACTAAGCAAAAGCAGGCAGTCACAAAAGACCACGGATTATGAAATTTGATCTATATGACTTTTCCAGAACAGACACATCTGTAGAGACAGAAAGCAGTTTAGTAGTTGTTTAGGCTGGGGGCATGGGAAAATAGGAGGATAGTAGCTAAAGAATACCTGGGGTTTTTTGAGGAGAGGAAATGTTCTAAAATTCACTGTAGTGATGGTTGCACAAGTCTGAATTTACTAAAAGACATTGGATTGTATGCTTTAAATGGATGAACGACATGGTATGTGAATTGTATCTCAGTAAATCTACTCAAAAATTAGTATAGAACCTCAGGCAAATATTTAAGAAATTTTCAAGGGATTAGTTTCAGCCTGTGATCCCAGCTGTTTCTCTCTTTTAAAACTGTTCACCTACATGTAAGTGCTCCATGGAATAGTGCCATGAAGCTAGTCTTCATGGGAAAAAAACACAGAAGACTGTCTGGAGGGTGGGAAGAGACTGGTGTGATGAGTTGGGGCACAGACTAGAAGTCAGCTTCACACGTTTAATGTTAACCCTTCACCGGGTGAACTGCTTTCCGCAAATGTCACCCTGGAAAGCCTTCACCAGCTGCACTTCTGAGCAAAGTCTACAGGTAGAACTGGTTCAACATCCTTTCTGTCTCACCCTATCTAGTTCCTTGTCCTAGGCAAATAGTTATTTTCAACATGCTGTTGGAGCTTGCTTTTTTCACTGAGACAAGGAGAAAACCTATTTTGTGGCTGTCTTTGTGAATTATTACTCATTTTCTTTCTGTCTTCTAATAGGAACGCCCACCCAGGCCTGACGTTCCCTGGCTGCAGCCTGCCATGTGGTTTGCGTGCTGTGACTTAGAAGAATTGTTTGGAGTTTTTGAAGGACTCACACAATATATACTGTTACATCCTATTTCTATACGAATAGGTAATATGTCAAAAAGGATCTGCTATGGGAAGTTGTAAACAAGCTCGTAAATCCTGACTTGGATGTCTCCCTTAACCTCTTCTGCTAGATCAATATTTTTCAATAGGAAATTTCTTCATTATTAAGAAAATGTGAACTACTTGTTTTCCCAGTTCAATGCTTGAGTTGAATGTTTGGCCCATGAATTTCCAAGATTTTATATTTACTGTTATCTTCATTTTAAGGGGATATACTTACCTCAAAGAATTACCTTAGCTGCATCCCATAGGTTTTCTGGTTGTTGTTTTGTTTTTTAACTTTTCACTGAAGGATTACATACATATGGAAAAGGGCACAAATCAAAATGGTACAACTTGGGGCATCTGGGTAGCTCAGCTGGTTAAGCATCCAACTCAATCTCAGTTTATGAGCCACCCCCCAAATCAGAAACTAGAATAGTACCAGCCTTCCAGAATCCTCTCCATCACAGGACCCTTCTCCTCTTCCCCAGAGGTAGTGCTCTGAATTATAACATTCTATGTTAATTTTCCCCCAAAGTTTTAATATGTAGCCCTGTCATTTCTAAAAGTACACTTTTTAGTTTGAAAACATTAAGGATTTGGGGGAACTCTCTTTTTATTGTTTATAATTTAATTATGTT